GTAGAAATGGAAGGGATGAAAAGGCGTATAATCTTCAGACGGTGCTTATTAACCCCAAAAGAGGTTCGAAGTCAAATCGCAAACATGCGGTTGTTCACTGGTATCCAGTCGAGCAGATTGCCTTCAGCATGTTTGCCGAGGGCAATAACAGCAGCCATTAAATCTGTATCGTGAGAGGCACGAAGCGTGTAGTCACTGACGGCAAGTAGCGTGTCAACAATTTGGACGTTCGTCAGCTGATGTTGAGTAACAGGATAACATTCACTACATCAATGAACTACTTGCATCATCATCAACATGATCAACAACATAATCATCAACAGCAGTACATCAGCCATTTGAACTGATGCTTCGCTGCCATACAACCATGATGACCTAAGGAATAAAGAATAATAAAAGGGAGAGAAGGAGGACTAACCTGAAAACCTTAATGCCCCAAGCAAACATTCAGGGTCAAGGCGCCTACACCTTGGGTCGACAACATACCGTCACAAACAGCTGGCTATCGTGCAAAGATAAGGCGGTAACGGCGAGACAGCTTCCTTGTGGCTTTCACTGCCCCGCGTCATAATCAGCCATTACCCCGCAGATAACTAAGCACCAAACACACTTTAAACAGGCAATCCGACTAGGAGACGGCAGCAGACGCGCCACTAGTGTCAGTTGCCAGCCATGGCGGTTAAAGTCTCGAGCCAAGCACAAGGCGAGTCATGTGGACTCCAGCCCGGAAAGCAAGACGGACCAACGGCACCCAGTCTGGTCGTCAGTGACTTAATTTCCCGCTGCCAAGTCAACTTCTGTCCACCTCGAGCCTTGCGCCACCCTACATCTGGCAGATTAAACAAGGCCCTCCTAGGTAAGCGGTGACCAGGCATACGTCGCACGTGTCCGAGCCAACGCAACTTGAGGGTATGCGGGTGTTCTCCGAGCCGGCTGATTTGGCTGCAAACGTTTCATCGTCAGACTAGACGACATCATCAGTGCGATTCATGCGGGCCACCTACAGACTTGGATCTGAAAATGGCAAGCAGAAATCGCACTGGTGATGTCGTCAAGTCTGACGATGAAACGTTTGCAGACAAATCAGCCAGCTCGGAGAACAGCCGCATACCCTCATCGCATCCCGAACTACAAATATGCTCACGGATTTCCAACGCAACTTATTCAGTGCTATCTGTTGTTCTATGGAGCTAGCATGATTATCACCACCTAGTACTCGCGTATGCACATCATCGTCTCGGACACGCTGGGGCCACCCGACTCCAGCAGTGCTTCGCAGACAACAATGATCAAAGACTTGAAGGCGCCTCAGATCTTCAGACCGAAGGGGCCAAGTCTCACGACCATAGAGCAGAACGGCCCTCACTGTGGCCTTGGGTACACGGCCTTTCAGATGTACGGAAACTCCCTTATGTCGCCAAAGATGCCGCAGGTTCAAGAAGGTAGCTCTGGCTTTTGCAATGCGTGAGCTGACGTCAGTTTCTATGCGCCCATTATTGCTGATGCAGGTGCCAAGATAAGTGAAATTGGTATAGGTAGAAATTCACCTCTAGACTCACTCAGACAGCCGTCACACGCCCGGAAAAGCACTGTACGCGGGTTCGAGCCCTACCAAGGGTCCGATGGAATGCGCACTGCTGATGATCCCCGAAAGGATGAAACGCGCGTACAGTGCTTTTCCGGGCGTGTGGCGGCTGTCTGAGTGAGTCTAGATGTGACGAATTTCCACCTATACCATTCAACTCTCCCTACTACTCTTCTGTAATAAGTGAAATTCTCAATCAGCTCAAGTTCCTCGTCAGCAAGCGTCAAGGGGTCATCAAGTGGCTGGTGGTCCTGCAGCAACACTTTGCACTTTGAAGGTGCGAAGTGCATACCAAATAATGGGACCACTATGGACAGACTATTCAGGGTTGATTGTGCCACCCCAACATCGTCCAAAAGCAAGACGATATCGTCCGCATAATCTAGATCAACTAACATTTCACCAGGCAGCACATCAGCGCCTACATCGTGAGATTCCACAAGAGAACAGTCCATGATAGAATCCACGAAGAAATTGAACAAAAATGGGGAAATCGGACAAGCATGACGAATGCCACTTGTGGTCGGAAAGCCATCCGATAGGACACCGTAGACCCTGACGCGGCCTGTAGTGTTCGAGTATAGAGCACGAAGGATGCTCACATATTTCGTAGGAAACACCTTTCCGCGCAAGTATTTCGAACAGAATCGATCGATCGACTGAATCGAACGCACTTTTGAAATCGAGAAACACAGCTATTGTCGATCAGCGGTATGCGTGGCGCTGCTCTATACAGCCACGTCCTGGGCGAAAACCGGCCTGCTGTTCTCTAATCCGAGATTCCCGTTCTGCAGTGAGGCGACGAACGATAATCGAGGACAGCACTTTTGTCACAACTGGCGTTAGGCTAATACCCCTGTGGTTAAAACAGTCTGTGAGACTGCTCTTCTTGTATACTGCCACTATAATCGCTTCGCTCCAATTAGCCGGGACACTTTCTTCCTTCCAGATTCATTCCAATAAGAAAGTCAGTGCTTTGCAGAGGACCTCACCTCCATCCTTAAATAGTGCAGGTGGGAGGGAATCCGGGGCAAAGGCACGAAAACGATTGAGGGCTGTGATCACGTTTCGGACCTCGGCCTCCGACAGAGGCTCTAAACTAACCGTCCGGGGCTCGTCCTGCATTCCCTGAGTAGGAAGAGGTAAGGGAGCAAGGGGCCAGCTGAACTGATCTTGAAAGTGTTCCGTTCAACGAGGCATACGACGCTCCTTATTGTGTATCAGCGCAACCGCGCTGTCTCTGATTGTCTCACTGACGCCTGGTTTTCTGGGACCAGTGGTGCGGAACAGCTGGAGGAGCTTGCAGTAATTACCTACTGCACTTGCTTCCGCCATTTCTCGAGCCCGAGTGGTCCACCAGGCCACCTCGTCAGCACGTAGGCTCTGCTTTAGCTCTCGCCTAATAGCCCGTCTGGTCACATTGTGTTCAGAGACAGCTGGAAGATTTCTTCTGGATTCCAGCAGGTTCACCGACCTCTCGGATATCCAGTGACTGGTGCGGTGACGATTGATAGTGCCACAAGCAGATGCTCCTGCGTCGTGCATGGCGGCCGAAATCCTATTCCACTGTAGCTCAGTGTCAGTAGGACAAGACAGCGGAAGTTCGATACGCACTGCGTCTTGATAGGCTTGCCTGACCGAGGACTGAGACAATTTCTCCGTTACCAATCGAAGCAGACGCTTGGTGCGCCTCTCGGTAAAGTTCATGGAGAAACGACAGCGTACTAAGGCATGATCAGAGTCGACACAGGTATTCCAGTACGAGCGGCAATCCAGGATGGAATCACACCACCTTTAACTTATGGCTATGTGGTCAATTTGGGTCCATCGCTGGCCAGCTACAGGCGGACGCCAAGTGGCACTTCGGCGCCCACTGTCTAAAAGCAGTGCTGCTAAGAAACAACTGGTGCTCCGCACACAGTTGCAGCAGACGCTCACCGTTGTCAGTCCGTTAAGAGTTAAGCCCATAAGTTTCGCAAAAATGAACTTCTGAAGAGCTCAGACGCTCTACTTGTTCGTTCATATCCCTTGAAAGTATTATAATATCTGAATTAGTAGCACTGCGTAGTAGCGCGTTCAGTTCGTCATAGAATGTGTCCTTGGCAGCATCAGAACTGCAGTCGGTGGGAGCATAAACGGAAATCACAAACAAGCAGCGTTTTGTACTACTTCGTGAATCAACCTTAGCTGATGTCGTCAAACGGGCTGCACATAAACCGCTGTTCACCGAAATCCAATCAACCAATGATGGCTCAGCCTTCGAGCTTAGAATGATACCTACAGCAGCTTGACTCGTGAGTGCTTTATCAGCGTCTCCGGATGCGTGCAACCAATAACGAGAGGATAAGCCGGGTGCAGTTAATTCAATAACCCCATTAGGGTCATTGATCATAGTTTCGGACACACAACACATATCAATACTCAGTGTGTCCAAGGTGCGTTCGAGTGCAGCCTGTTGACCTGTTTGTCTTAGAGTGCGAACGTTGAATGTCGCCATGGAAACGGGATAGCGTGGCCTTATAAGGGACTGTTGCCGATAGACGTCCGATGCGTGTCGCGATGTGGCTGCAGATGGTTCTACTCCAGTGGCACTTCGGTTGCTGTCAATTAAGCTGGGAATTATAGAAGGAAGGTTAGTAATGGGAGTCGGGATGGGAGTAAGAGAAACAGGTGGAAAAGAAAGAAGGGAGGCGCCAGCAGTAGCATGTTTGCGCTTATCCGCCCTGCTGTATGCAGCAGATAAGGCGACCCATGATAATCTGCGCGACGACCGATGCAGGATGAAGTTTATGTTTGAAGAAAATGTCATGGTTGTATGTGGGCTGAGATACTGCCAGGGCGCCCAGACCTAGACAGGAGGACGATTAGGGTACTCAACCAAAGTCTGACTCAAAAGCCTGTCCGCAAGGCAGCGAGGAGGTAGCAATGATTTAGTTTTACAGAAATGGACGCCATCCCATTTCACGCCCCAACCTGGAGGACCAGGAGACTGAGTTTGTCTGACCTCTCATCATTGACCAACCTGGTAGGAGTAGCTCTCAAGGGACCCGGAGGCACCACCCAGTATAGCTCAATGGGTCAATGAGGTACGCAAACCGTCGCACCATGTTAAGGTCCAGTCTCGTTGCGACTTATCAGGTCTTTTCTTCTTTGTTCACGGTGTGATTCTCAAAAATCACACAGGCGTGAAAGGAATTCCTAGAAAATGCGCTAAAAGTAATGTGGAGCCTGGCATGTTATAGCTGTTTAACCGGACGCTTCCAGTTTTTGCTTGTTGCTAACTCCTTGCTGAATGCCCACCATTTAATTCAACGATAGACGATACCTTGTGTGACAAAAGTAACCTACGAAACCTGGCGCACCTCACTGTGATACTTACATTACATCGAATAAACAGTTGTGATAATATATGTACCTGGGCATATTTGACGACCATAGTTTCTTTTTCCTGCTTATAGTTCTCTGCCATGGCCTTCGCTTGGACTAAACGTCCGCGAAGCTCGCCATTTGTCAGTTGAATTGGGACCCATTTGTTGGATTGAGAAGATTCGAGCCAATTGCGCTTCTCCTCCAATAAACGATCAACCTGATTTTGGGTAGCAATAAGCCTCTGAGACATGGAAGTAAGTTGGTTTTGTAACTGGGTAACTTCTACTTCACCGGAAACCTCATCTCTGCAAACGGCACAGGTTGAAGAAGTTTCTGCTGTGCGAGGAGCAGACGTATTACTGCTTGAAAAATCAACAGAATGCTTGGTAAAACAATTCTCATTTGATGAAGGAAGTGATGAATTGGGAGTAACAGTCGAAATGCGGAAAGCAGGAGAGACTTCTTGGTCTAGGACTATTTCTGAAGAGGGAGATGAGATGCACTCACGGAGGCTATGCTGGGAAGGGTAGGCCAATGTGATCTCTTTTGAAACTTCTTCAATCACCAGATCAGAAGTAGGAGAACAGGTCTCCGATGAGTACTTGACACTATGAATTGAAGCTTCAATGAGTGAGTCTGGCAGCGAAACACCGGTAAACGAATCCAGAGTATTCGATGAATGGCCCTCGGTTGGATCTATGATGAATGAAAAAGGTTCCGATACGACCACGCCTGGGGTTTTGGGTGCATCAAGTAGGTCATAATTAACAGGGGCAAGTGAACCCGAGTACATGATTGAATTGGTGGTCCCATAGGTGTTGTTGCTCATTGGCGATATCACCAAAGCAAGAGATGGCTGAAAATAAAGCAAACGTGCAGTAGAAGTGTTTTGCGATGTAGCAAATCAGTAGTATAACAGTAAAAAGTACATGTATTGCAAGAGACTGTCGGTCCAGGCCACTCCAAGTGTCGGTAGTCCAGCTTGTAAAATCCGTGCAAACAAAAGCAGAAATGAAATGAGGATGTGGAAAAATGTTACGACAAGAATAGACAGATGATGAGCTTAAGTAAAGTAATCCTATCTAAATACAAACTTAGAGAATACACACTAGCTAAACAGAAGGTGCTGAGGGATAGCTACCGCCTGACACGTGTAGAAATGGTGATCACAGTAAAACGAGGTAGCCAGCTTGTGGTCAAAGTGTCACTAGTTTCAGAAGAAAGCAAAGTGTATTCTGGTCAAATTTTGTACGGCGCGGAAATCTAGCAACCAGGCCGAAAATCAGTTTAAGCCGCTTGATCTGTGGTTATTATCATCGTCATACACGTCAGCTAGAGGTGAGAAATGCAGCGACAGTTAGACAATAATACAATACAAGCAAATGGTTGCAAAGTCAAAAACGAGACCAAAGCAACAGTACTAATATGAAATGCGCGTAACATGATCAGTTGTGAGATGAAGTTGGAAGAGAGCTAGGCATAAGGGGGACTGACGAAGAACCTCCCAACAAGCGCCACTGAGGTTAGTCCTTTGAGATGTCAGTAAGTGCATTCGGCAAATCGTGTTCTTCGACTTTCGGACCCTACCAGAGAGTCGAAAGGTACCAACAAAGGCCACTTCCGAGGTCAGAGCCTTCACTCCGCCTAACCAAGTCATCGGTTCGTCTCCTATCCTCCTTTTCCACTTAAATCCAGGTCGCGAAAACAGCGCATGTTGCAAGAGTCGGTGTACTGACATGCATAACACGACTCAACCAATGGAGCCTGGTGCGTAAAACAATGATGCTGAGCGGTTCAGTTACTCTTCGTGTGCCATAAACAAGGCGTCTATCACTCTCATGCAGTGTACCCACCAGACGTTAGCCAAACAGCGAAGGGAATGGTAAGTGAACATAACTAGCCTCTTTAGGCTTATCGACCTGAGGGAGTCTGTTTCACAACCATACAGAACGAGTGATGTCGCGCCGGCGCTATAAGTGACGAAGCTAAACAAAAGCACTACGGGCTTATGCTATACGGCTCATGATCCTATCTGCTATGAAACACGCTCTGAGATACTCCCCCCCAGATAGTTGAATTTCTGAACACTTTCTACATGATCTCCACCAAGGTTCAGTACAGGAATGGTTCCTCCCTATCTTAAAGGAAATCTTTGCAGCTGGATAGTAAAAACAAAGCCCGAAACGGGCGACAGTCAGTGCGAAGCTGTCCAATGCTGCTTCGTACATTTATAAGCTGTCGTATACCAAAGCAATATCATCTACATACTTTGAATCATAAAGTCGATTGCTTGAAATCCACGCCACGCCTTCAAAATGGTGTTCTGGGAACACGGTTCCCATGATTTCAGGATCGAAGTTGAAGAGAAAAAGTGGCATCAAGCATCCTTGTCTCACAATGTTGGAGATATTGCTGGGCGGCGACATCTAGCCATAACCTCTTGGAATGGGCAGTCGACGTATTGGACATGTCAACAGCCTGTTAGGATAGAAGACAGTGGACTAATCTCGGGAGCAATAACAAAATCAGTAACTCGGATTTTATAAGTTGCTTTCGGGCACTTTTGGAGTGCTTGAGAATTAAGATATGTTGCTCATCATCTGGAGCGATTGAGATCGTAAGGATTGGAGACACTATGCAGGAATTTCTGGTTGTTGGAATTGTGATCACCGCAAAGCCACTGTACAGATGACCATCACTCCCAGAATCTATTTAGAGGTCGTTGAGAGTCTCAATTCCATAATATTCCAGAGCTTTAAGTAGTAAACAAGTGTGATGGAGCTTCAAACCAAGCAGGTAAGTTATTTTCGTAGACTGCAAAAGCATGTCGCTAACTGCCTCAGGAGAAAGCCCAGCAGGAGGCCCCTAAAAATAGCTTGTTGAAACGAAAAACCGCATCCGACGCATAAAAGCTGTTCCCATCCATCCAGATAACTGCTAATGACTGTTTTCGAGAAGATGACCAAGGAAAGTTTCAAACGGCTCTCAGATGCTCATCCACGCAAGACAATGTGACCGCACTGTTCTGCTGCGACTGCTCCGGTTCCCTGAAGATTACCGGGTCGAGACGACATAGGTGCTCTTAGTGCTGAACGGGGGGTAATGTGGCTAACATGGGTCCTCCCTTCTACCATCTACAACTCAAGGAAATCAGTGAATGAACTGTAGGACGCGACTAGATATTTCATAAGACCCCAACTTTAGCGAGAACCGCAAATGGGGGACAGTGTCAAATGCCTTAGCGAGTCAACGTATAGCGCGTGGCCACTGTCATGGCTTCAGCACAGATCACACGAGCTATCGGCAAGTTGAGTAGACACGAAAATCTTTCGTGAAATCCATGTTGCGCGACATGGAGCATCTTAAATTTATTCCATTGGTTCTTCACTGAATGTTACCAAATGTACAAGTAGTCTAACCCTCAGGAAAGGTGCGCCCGGGAAATATGTAAATATTATCCGAGCATAATAAGCGCGCAGCACGGGCAGAGTGAGGGCTTACGGCAAGCTGTCGCCACCGTTCAATATCTCCAGCGGTGTGAAACAAGGATGCCCGCTGTCACCTTTCCTTTTCTACTTCTCTATTGACGAAGTCATGGAGATGCATTTACAGGACATGACTTGGAAGGTGTAGAGCTACTCCCAGGAGAACGACTTCTTGAATTACAGTATGCAGACGGCATTGCCCTCATTTGTGGCAGCTCCCAGAGGTGCCAAGCCGCGCTGGACAGATTAGCACTAGCTGTCAGCCGCTCCGGGCTTTGCTTTGCACCATCGAAGTGCAAAGCGTCCCTCCAAGGTTGGCAAGGATCGCCTCCTGCGCTGACCCTTGGTGGGGATCAGCTAGAAGTCGTTCGGAAATTCAACTACCTGGGAAGTTGTAACAGCGCCCTTGGATCGAAGACGAGATCACGGACCGTATAGCAAAAGCTCGAAGTGCTTTTGCCAACCTTCGCCACCTATGGGGGCGGCGCGACATTACTCTCGCCCTGAGGGGTAGAGTGTACAATGCAGCGGTTTGTTCTACCTTACTGTACGGTTGTGAAACCTGGCCTCTAAGATCGGCGGACATGAAGTGGCTAGTTACGTTCGACCATCGGTGCCTTCGCAGTTTGGCTCACATCTGGTGGGAACACCGCGTGTGTAACGAGCGTGTTCGACACCTTGTTTACGGCACAGGAAAAGGAAATGAACCGCTCAGCACCGTCATTTCACCCACCAGGCTCCGATGGCTGGGCCACGTGTTGCGCATGCCAGCCCACCGACTTCCAAGACGTGCGTTGTTTGCTCACCGGGGATGTGGATGGAAGAAGAGGAGGGGTGGCCAAGCGATGACTTGGTCGAGAGGAATGAAGACCCTCACTTCTGAGCTGGCCTCGGTTGGAGCGTCACGGCTCCCTGGTTGGGGTCCAAAAGACGGTGAACAAGTTTGGCTGATACACTTGCTGACATGGCAAGGAGCCGACCTCAGTGGCGTTCCTGCTGTGAGTTTCATTGTCCCTCCCCATCCCTTTTAGCCTTCCCCTCCACCTACGATCTCATTTCTTAGCGTAAAACACAATAATTTTTTTTGCCTAGTAGCCGGCTGGTAGCTTACCGGAATGACGCCTATCCGTTGCTAGTAGCTCAGCTGGCATGCAACTTTGTTTTTATTTTCCTTTTTCATTTATGTATTGCGGCACAGTAGCTGAGGTGTTTCCCACCTCTAGCTGACGTGTATAATGATGATGATGAGTCTAATCACTACCCTAATCAAGCCGACAGGCCTATAATAAGCCGGTAGGTTTTTGTCCCCGCAGTAGAAAATAGGGCAGATCACGACTCCTTTTCAGCACTGGGATGTGATGTCCAAATAGATCGACGAAGTAAGCCTCATTTTTTAGGATACCTAAACTGTATCACTCTCAGAGATTCCATAGGGCAATGACGAAGCTGTCTCGCACTAGTTGAAAAAGCGAGGCCCACGTGTAAGGATGCCAATTGCTAGCAGCCTGGTAAGAGCACATTGAAAAGACAAGTAAACGTGCTCGCTAGTCCCAGGATGGCTGTTGATTGCTCATGTACCTAGTAGGGAGGTACACGAACTGGTGCAACGGTACCTGCGGCATCAGATACATCAGGTTCGCACCGAACGATCCCAGCACCAAATCACAAGATAGGTCTGAGCAGTAAACCACTGGAAGATTGAAGTCGCTCAGCAACCGAAACTTGTTCGCAGTGGACAAGTGTAAACTCTGAGATCTCTTTCACAGGTACTCACGGCTTCTGTACACTACACTACCACAACCGTAAACTGAACGGAAGAAGTGCAAATTAAAACTGCGAGAACCTCAACAGATTTGTCTAGCTACTGAAGAACGCTGGTCCTCAAAACGTCTGACTGACACCTCAAGTAAAGAGCTACAGCACCGTCTTGGCCAACAGATCGGTCACTACAGAACAATGCGTAGCCTGTTATCTCTATCTGATATCAAATAATCTCGAAACCGGTATCGGGGTGCAGCTGCTATATGGAAATGAGTCGTGACCAGTTCGCGTAGTTAACATGCGCCGGCTCTCGGCCTTCGACAATGGATGCCTGAGAAGGATTGCTCGTGTGTGGTGACAGCAAAGTATTTGCAACAGTGAAGTCCGACGTCGTGTCTTAGGGCGTACGAGTATTCCCTACAACAAGCTGGTTTTGCAGTGGCAGTTAGAATGGCTGCCTTTTGTGGACCTTCACGTGGTAACACGAAATTCCGGCATTCAAGTTCAGTTCGGACCGGAACGATAGGATAATTCTGTGAATGTTCCTTCTTTTGCCTATCGTTGGACCGGACATTGATAGGCCTGCTTGAGATAATAAAAAGCCAAACACA